AAAAAACCTATGTATTATTAAAGAAAAATGGTTGGAAATTCAAGAGCTAATCATCCAATTTAAAAAGTTACAAAAACAATAAGAGTAAATGAAATAAAGTAGAAATAAGGAAATTTTGAAATAGCAAATATTAATGAAAAAGAAAATATCCAATATAAAGAATCAATAAAACCAAAAATTGGTTTGTTGAAAAGTCTAATAAAACTGACAAACCTCAGACAAGATTGAGCATAGAAAAGAAGAGAGAAAGTATTTGTAAACCAGCACTAGGAATTATATCAGTTGGTTCCATGACAGGAAACAGACAGCATACTCAAAAGGGATAATTAAAGAGCATTAAGGAAAGAACCATATGCAAGGGTATGGGCAGGTTTAATGGAAACTCAGGGCTAGCAACACTGGAAGACATCAGAGCTCCTAAGCCTCAAGGGACAGTGGGAGGGAGTGGTTACCAAAAACTAGTGAGAGCTGCAGCAGTAGCTATTAATATAAAGAAAGGGACGCCAGACAGGAACTGTGGGTTTCTATAGAGGAACATAGTCACTGCCAGCTCATATCTGGAGAATACTCTGACCTTTCGCTCCTTCACCATCTGATCTCCTGCTGGTATCTCCCATTGCCTGAAGGCTACTAGAAGCCATAATGCAAGGGAGACTGGCAAATGCAGCTAATATGGGTCAGGGGACAGAGTAGGGTAGAGAAGGGTGAAAAGTGGATCTTGAAAGAGAAAACAGAATTTTCAGCACTGGCCATTCCTTTTGCCTCTTCACATCCACTCTTGCCTTTTGTCCAGATGAAAACCCATGTCCTCAAAACAGAATGTACAAGTCCCATCAGCTACTGTATCATTGCAGGGTGATATCCATTCATATTCCCATATGAAATCATTTTCATATAAAGTAGAAGGGAAAGGGGGGCTATTAACATAAAACATAGTTGCTACAGTCCCTGCTTCTAAAACTGGAAGCAAGCCTTAAGTTGATAATCATAGCTTCCTTTTTCTACCACCATGGGAACACCACCCTACCCTCTTCTAGCATCTCAGAAGGACAGGATACATTACCTGATAGAATTCCCTACTGGATCTTGGTCCTTGTAATCTCAGCTTGCTTGGGTTACCAGTTTTCACTGACCAATACTATTAAGCAAGAGAATGATAAGAGGAACCTCACTGAAGATCCTGGGTTCTAGACATGGTCTTCCTTGCCCTAATTGTGTAGTAGTCAAGATAGACCACACTGGTCAGTTCAGCGACCCTTTCTCTGCCTGTTAGTTCAACAGCATGAGGAGTGTAAACTGGCCAGAGAGCAGTGTCAGCTTCTAAAATATCAGAATGCTTCCCTCGTGGAAGCAGTTCTCCTTGGGCACTAGAACTTCCTAACCTACTGATTCCAACATGTAGGGATGGAAAGCAAATATTTATTCAGTGAAAGGGGTCACTGCTACCTCTACCCTTTGAACCTTGGACCCATACGTTCTGGCTACAAGGCAAATGATATGATATATTGGCCTATGGTTTAAAGCACATACTAGGTTTGATAGGACAGTACCCCAAACTTGCTGGGTGCTGTTTCCCAGCTGGTGCCATAACTAAACCTTCAGCAGGAAATTTCATCATTCTCGCAAGCCAGATGTGTCTGGGTGATGGGATACATGGCAAAACCAGTGAATTCCATGGAGATGAGCTTATTACCACATTTCTTTCATCCTAAAATGAGTTCTTTTGTTGTAGACAATGTTGGGTGGGATACTGTGGTGCTGAACAAGGCATTCCATGAGTTCATTTGGTGGTGTTGGCAGAAACAATGCAAGCATGGAAAGCAAATCCATATTTGAAATATGCATCTATTCCTATAAAGATATTTGGTGCCTTCTCCATGAATGGCCCAGTGTAATCAGTCTTCCACCAGATAAGTGTTTGGTCCACCTGGGGAATGGTGCCATTCTGATGCTTCAGTGTTCAGTCTCCACTGATAAGCAGATTGCCCATTTAATATTGGTGGTAGAGAGATCAGCTTCAGTGAGGGGAAGAACCAGTTTTTGAGCCAATACGTAGGCCCCATCCCAGCTGCCATGGCCATTTTGTACATGGACCTACTAGGCAAACACTAGGGTAGCTGAGGAAAAAGGTTGACTAATGTCAACCGAATAGGTCATCTTATCCACCTGATTACTGAGAGCCTCCTCTACCATTGGATACCCTTTGGGGACAATTATGTAGAAGACAAATTTTTTTCACACTATGGCCTATTCTAAGAGGCCCATGTGTATAGCCCTCTCCCAGGCCTCCTTATCACCAAATTCCTACCTTGTTCTTTGCACACTCTTCACTAGCCAGCCAACTTGTTAGCCTCTGCCCACAAATCTATATAGATCAATATATTAGGCCATTTATCCTTCCTCCGAAGTAGACAATGAGATGTACTACTTGGGAGGATTTTCCTTTACAGGGCCATCCCTGAGTGGGGCTGTAGGACAACTGCCACCTGCTTCTACCACCTGCCCACCTACTTTACAGTCCCATCCATAGACTTGTAGTCCTGCATTTTCTTGTTTTATTAAATGGTCATAGAGAACTCTCTTTGAGGCCACCTGTGTGGACTGATGGAGAGGTAGTAGCAAGTTCCATGAGAGTCTGAGCCACTTTCACATTCAGTTTAGTTTATTTACCTTCCCAGTTTTCTGGGATCTGCTTTCATACACAATTTTCTTTTTGTTTGTTTGTTCTAGAGACAGGATCTTGCTCTTTCACCCAGGCTAGAATGTTCTAGAGATAGGGTCTTGCTCTGTCACTCAGGCTAGAATGTGGTGGTGCAATCGTAGCTCACTATAGCCTCAAACTCCTGAGCTCAAGTGATCCTCCTGCCCCATCCCCTGAGTAGTTAGGACTACAGGTGTATGTCACCACATCCAGCTAACTTTTTAAAATTTTTTTAGAGATAAGGTCTCAGTGTTGCCTAGGCAGGTCTCAAACTCCTGGATTCAAACAATCCTCCCACCTCAGCCTCCCAAAGTGCTGGGATTACAGGCGTGAGCCACAGCACCTGGCCACAAAATTTGTATTTAACAATGGAATGCTGCTGTACATGGCCATTTGATGATTGAATGGAGCAGATAACACCCTGTTTGTGTTGGGCAGTTCAGGTCACGTAGTCTGTTGACTTCCCATAGTCAGAAATTCAGTCACTACCAGGGCCTAGTAGCAAACCAGGTACTGCCTTTCAAATGAAGAAAAATTGTCAAGCAAGGAAAGCATGGTCTTACTTCAACCCCCTATGGATCTGTGCTGTGAGGACTTCTATTGGGCTTCATAGAAAACCTCATTCAAAACCATTCTGTCTGCTGAGTCATAAGGCCCAAGTAACAGGCCAGCATGTACTGTAGCCCAGATTTGCTACAGAGCCTTTTCTTACTTCAGATCCCACTCAAAACTGGCAGCCTTACAGGTTACTCAGTAAATGGGTCAGATCAGCATGCCCAAATATGGTATATGTTGCCTCCTAAATCTAAAGAGGCCCACCTAGGATTGGTTTCTTTCTTTGTGGTGGGTGATGCAAGGAAAAACAACTTGTCTTTTATTTTAGAGGAGATGTCCTGACATAGTCCAGATCACTGGACCTCACAGATGTCATCCATGCACCAGGCACTGGAACTTTCATGGAATTTATCTCCTATCCTCTGGCTATAAGGCATCTGGGGTGCTCGATTCTTCCTGCTCATGGGATCATTCTCATAATGTCATCTATGTAGTGGACCAGCACTATGTCTGTGGGATAAAAAGATAATTATCGTCCTTCTGGGATAGATTATGACAGAAAACATCATAGCTTAAGATAGCCCTGAGGTAAGAGAGTGAGGACAAACTGTTTCTGTTATCTTTGCTGGTAACATTTGCTAGGGCAATAGGTGCCAGAGGCTGTGTTAATTTGCTCCAGTAAAGATTCTACCTTGGGAACCATAGTTGTGATTGGTGTCATCACCTGATTAAATTAATAATAGCCCACAATCATTCTCCAAAACCTATATGGCTTTTTTCATAGGGCAAACAGGCAAGTTATACAGGGGTGTGTGGTTGGAATCATCACACTTCCATTTTTCAGGTTCTTGGTTTTGGCTCCAATCTCTTCAGTTGTTCTAGGGGTTTGGTATTGCTTTGGTGGTAGGGGTGAGAGGAGAGGGAGGTACAGTTCCAAGGGTTGCTACAAGAGCACCCCATCCATGGATCTGTGGGTCAGAAAAACAATGTGTGGTGATTCTGCAAGGATGGGTGCAAGTTCCCACTGAAATGGACTCCGACCAAGACTTCACTTAACACCTGACTCCATAAGTCCCCACTCTGGTGATGGACCACGGTGGCAAACTGGGTCTCCAAGAATTAGCATCAATACAGAGCCAGGATCTGATTACCCTCAGAAGGTTCTAGATATTTCCTTTTCCTTGGTCATGGTCCTCTAGTAAATGGCCACAGGTTCCACTATAAGGAACACTTGGAGGAAGATTTGCAGTCTACAGCTGTGATAGCATTGCAGCAGGGTCCTTTCTCAAAAAGATTTGGCCTCTCTCTTTTTTTTTCAGCTGAATGTAATCTAGTTTATTCAACCAAAAATTGAGAGAGAAGGAAAAGTATTGAAAGCAGTTCTTAAACACTAGCAGTAAATAAATTTATACAACAATTCAGTCCGTATAATATGATGAAATAAATCTACATCTTTTCTTATTTTGGTGCTTTGAATTCTACATACAAACAATTACAGGTACTTGTTCACAAAGCATGTAGGCCTAAAGAAGGACTATCCGACACCCAGGACGGCAGATGGCATTTGCGGCCCAGGACAGCAGATGGCATTTGCGAGTGTTAACACTGATTGCCCAGAACCGATAGACACTTCCTTTGCAGAGGCCCACAGCTTTGAATGAATGATTAGCCCATGACTTTTTTCTTTCTCTTTTTTTTTTTTTTTTGCTTTTTTATTTTCTCTGGTTTTTTTTATTATATTTTGTTTTGTTTTGTTTTTTTTCTTTTAATGCATCAAACAACTGTGGCCAGTGAAAGGAAACAAAACTGGCAGTTTGTCTATTTGGATATCAGACCTAGTTTCTTCTTAGTTTCCATACTTTATTTTCCCCCATATTCGTTAAACTTCTTGGCCTCCTTCATGCCTTACAGCTACCCAGATGCAATAGAGTCTTCCTCAAATGTACAGTATTTCTTACAATATAAGTTATATGCAATGTTCAGCATTTTTTTTCACAGCACTAGAGACCCTGTTAAATAGGGGATGAGAGTCTGAATGGCTTATTCACAAATGGGACCCAGAATCAGTGGTTGGAACACAGACACCACAGTGAGCTCCTTTGCAAAGTAGCAAACATCATTTTGCTTTCTGCCTTCGAAAACATATATCCATGGCCTTCAGTCTTCATGATACTGCCCCTGCACAAATGCAAGTCAAAGGGGCTTCGGGGACTCTCGCGTGGAGCCCAGTGAGCGTCGAGCGGGCCTCTAACCCATGGCGGTGACCATACTGGAAGTATGGTGAGGTTCAAGGGACAGGCTGGACGGTGGGTGCATCGGCATGGGCGTGGTCAACATGTGACTGGAGTGGCTGAAGGGCGAGATGTGGCTCAGGGAGGACATGTAACTGGAGAGGGCGGCCGGGTTAAATGAGCTGTTCTTGGGGAAGTCCTCCAGCGTGTCGTACACTTTTTGGATTTGCTAGACATTTTCCGGTTTCTGGTCTGGATGCCTTCCTTCTTCATGGTCAGGGGTCTGTTAGTATTGTGCAGCTTGTAGTAGAGCCCGCAGGCGTTGCAGACAGGGGCCCCGTTGGCATTCCTCCTCCAGAGCATGGTCTTGGTGGTCTGACAGTTTGCACAGGACGTCCCTGCTCTCCTGGCTGCAGACAGCCTTCCCCTGGGCTTAATGAGGGGCCAGTTCTGTCCGTTCACTTTGTGGTAGAGCCCACAGGTGTTGCACAGGTAGTGCCCGGTGCCGTCTCGCCGCCACAGTGGGGTGGAGGTTGTCCCGCAGTTCACGCACTCCTTGCCTTCTGTGCTGGATCCGTCCTTGGGCCTCGACTTGCCTCCGAAGCCGGTTGGGGAGCCGCCCAGCAGGCTGCTGGAGGGGACGAGTCCGGAGCTGTACTCGGGCACGTAGGGCGGGTAGGTGGTGATGGGGTGGTGGGCTGACGAGGAGGCTCCCCCCAGGGTGCGCACGCTGCTGCAGGAGTGCGACGACTCGAGCTGCATGCTGTCGGGCAGCGGCACCTGGTACTTGAGGCACTCTGTCTCGTCCTGCTGGCCCGAGCTGGCCGAGTCCGGGGTGGACAGCGACGGGTCCCGGAAGACGTCCTTGGGCGGGGTGGGCGGGAAGGTGAAGAGGTGCGGGCTGGCGTGGCCCCCGGACAGGGAGGAGGACGAGGCTGGGGGGTGGACCGTGAGGGGCCCCGGGGAGCCGTGGTGGATGGAAGTCTTGGAAAAGGGGCTGAGGTTCCAAGGCGAAGCGGTGTGGTGGCCGCCCGGAGCTTTGCCGCCATCCAGCCAGGGCAGGGACCCGTGCAGCAGGGGCGGGGGGCACACCTGGCTCCCGTAGTGGGCTGGGGGGTACCTCTGCACCGTGGCTGTGACCGAGTTTCCGTAGAAGGACGGGACGTGGTTGTCTTGACCGTCGATGTTAAAAAGTACATCCACCTCCCCCGGCAGCGGGTACTGCGCCGGGTCCACGTAGGAGTGGCCGAGGCCCGGGCGGTGCGTGTCCGTGTCCGGGTGCTGCCCGTTGAGCACCGCGGGGTGGTGGTGGCTCACCCAGAGCGGCTGGTCCGCCGTCACCTCCATGGCCTCGGCTGCGCTCGTGCCCTTTCGCCGGCCCGACACCCGCGGGCGGAGAGGGAGGGCGGTCGGCCTGGGAGGTCGGGGGGCTCCTGCCGACTGAGGGCCGGGGGGGTCGCTTAATGATTCGCTTCAGTGGGAGAATGGGAAGTTTGGGAAGGAAAGGTGAGCGAACCAGAGGGCTTTGAAAAAATCCTTGAGGGGTGGTTTAGCAAAGAGAAGAAAGGAAAGGAAAAAAATCCAAAAACTAGGTACGGCAGGATAACAGGGGCCAAATTGTAAAAGGGGGCGAGGACTCTGGAATCCTGCAAGGGAGGCTCCTGTGCACCGGGTTCCTCCGAGGCTGAGTCTCTCCTCGGGTCACCTGAGCAGCGAGGAGCAGAGAGGAGGAGGAGGAGGAGGAGGAGGAGGAGTATGACCTGCTCGGTCAGATTGCGTGGCTCACTCTGTCTCGCGCTCTCTCCGTCTCCTGGCCTCCCTCTTAATCAAGGGGATCCAGAACTGCGAACTGGCTTAATATGTCTGGGAACAGAGTAAGAGTCCAGGAGTCTGCAAAGTTTCTGCCCACCAGACCTAGAATTTTCTGATTCTATATTTCACATCTGTTTCATTCCTAGGGAATTCCATAATCACCCACTGCAAGAGATGGAGGTGAAAACACTCTGATTACCACCCTATCCCTGTGCTTTATTACATTAATTGCACCTACCTTAGTTCTGACAGTTAAGTACTATCACCCATAGTGTACCCTTTAAGATCCTATTTTTCCTACTGAAATCAGGGATCCCAGTTCCACTGAAGCATCTCCCCCACCATCTCTGGCATGCAGAAGACATTCCACAGATCTTTTCAATAATACTCATGCTCCTCTCAGCATTATATGCCTTAGTGAAGAGGCTGGTCCTCCCAGTAGGATGATCAACTCAACTTCCAATTTTCCTGGAACTGTACTGGTTTTAAAACTGAAAATCCTACGACCTAGGAAACCCTTAAGTCCTGGACAAAACAAGACAGTGTGTCACCCTACCACCCAGTTCTTCCAAGAGAAGAATTGGAGGTGGGCACTCAGCAGGTGACATATAATAAGTCCACTTCAACATTCCCTTCCCCTTGGGCATTCGAGCATCTGTGCTATGCTGAGATCTAACAATTATTATGAAATTGGAGGCAATGAGGTGTTGTGAGGGTTGGTCCTGAGGAGAATGAACATTTTTTGTGACGCAAACACCTTAGTGGAAGTCACTAAAAGGTTTGTATGCATGAGAAGGCTGGTACCTTTAGACAAGAAATATAGGGCTGCTTCTACTGACAAGGAAGGTTCAGAGAGATTTGGGGGTTAAATTTTTTCCAGCCCCATCTGTTTACACCCAGACATTTATTTTTATTTTTATTTTTTTATGGAGATGGGGTCTTGCTCTTGCTCAGGCTGGTCTCAAACCCCTGACCTCAAGTGATCCTCCCACCTTGGCCTCCCAGAGTGCTAGGATTACAGGCATGAGCCACCACACCCACCCTTATGCCCAGATATTTCTATCCAAGGTGTTAGGGTCCTATTCTTTCCCCAGGAGTGCCCTTAACTTAGCCTAAGAGTCCCGGCAAGGCTGTATCTTTAATTGATGCTGCACTTCTGCAACATTTATGATCAGTCCCTGAGCGTGATCTTCAGGCATACTGTCCTGCAGCTCCAGGAGAATAAAGACTACTTTAATACTGACATCGAGGCTCTTTGATTTTCCACCATGATCTGCGTTGTACATTCAAGGCTTTCAATTTGTCCTCTTTTCTGTGTAAGCTCTCTAGGGTCATCAGAAGCAGTGAGCCCTAGCCATATCCTTTGCAATCATCTTTGTCACCATAGGGACTAAGTGCTCTAGCCACTTGATTTCACAAAGCTTGCCCTCCAATTGCATCCCATTTGAAGCCACCATGGGTGATAATTTGAGTAATCACCATTCAACGCATGCTACACGTTACAAATGTCCCATTTCCCCATAGCAAAAAAAAAAAAAAAAAAAATTGTCAAGCAGATTGCATTCTTTAGGAAGCAGAGCTGAAACTGAGTTAGGAGCACAAAGGGTTTACTGGAAAGTGAAACCTGTGAAGGAAAAGAGGAGACAGTAAGCTTGCACAGTACAGGCAAGCAAGGCAAACCCAAATCTAATGTATGCATTGATTCCATTTAGAACGACTCACTCTCCCCTCCCAGGTGGAAAAGGTCCAATGTAATTAACTTGCCACAAGGTGGCTGGCTAGTGTTCCCTCAGTCACTATACTATAACAAGGACTCAGCATTAGTCTCTGTTGTTGGTTTCTTGGGCACTCAGCAGTGGCAGTAGGTAAATCACCATGGAGAGAGAAATGAAGCCCATTCTGCCAGGTCCATGCATAATCTCCATCCCTGCCTACATAACCACCTACCTGTTCATGGGCCCATTGCACAAGTAGTGGGGTAACAAAAGAGAAATGTTGGCTGACATCCACAGGATAGTCCATCTTGTACACCTGGTTGTTGAGAATCTCTGCAATGGATGCTCTCTAGTGGATATTAATTTGAGACACAAAGATTTTCCCAGTCCCAGGGGTCTATCTACTTATCTTTCCCAGACTTCCTTGCCACTGGTATTCCAGCGTTGCTCCTTCTATGCCTCTGTCCAATGAGCCAAGATATTTGCTACTATCCAGAATTCACTTTATATTCATCTCCCACCATACAAAGTGAGTGACCAAGAATACTGCCCACTGGAATGATTTCCCTTCAGCAGATAGTAAAAAAAAAAGGACAAAAGACCTGGGCGAGCATTTAACAGGAGAGGCAAAATGAATGTAATCAGGGAAATGCAAAATAACCTCATATTACATTATGCTCATCAGATTGCCAACAATTCAAATTTCAGTGTCCATAAATGACATTTTATTGAAACACAGCCATGCTCATTTATTTATAAATTGTTTATGGCTGCTTTCACACTATAACAGCAGAGTTTTATAGTTGTGACAGACTGTATAGCCTGCAAAGTCAAGAATACTTACTCTCTGCCCTTTACAGAAAAAGTTTGTAAGCCACTTTTCTAGACGGTAAGCTTCAAGAAAATTTTAAGTTAAATTTAAGGTTAAGTTAAACAGAAGATTTCAACATTCCTATCTTATTTAGAACATTCTTAGAAGCACCACAGAGGAGAGAATACGGGGGACAGTTGACATCTCTCTACCTGGATTAGATACCTGAGGAAGGAGAGCTGGGGAAATGCTGACTAACAGAGAAAGCCAAAGTCAGTGGTTCTCAAACTGTAGTGTGCATCAGAATCCCCTGGAGGGCTTGTTAAAACACAGGGTGCTGGGTCCTACTCCCAGGGTTTCTGATTCAGTAAGTCTGACGTGGGGCTTGATAATTTGCATTTCTAACAAGTTCCCAAGTGATACTGATGCTGTTGGTCTGGAGACCATAGTTTGAGAACTGCCAACCCTAAGTGTTATAAGTGGTTCCTAAAATGAGACACTCTGGAAACCCACATAAGAATCACCTAGATCCCTAAAAAAAAAAAAAAAGAAAAGAATCACCTTGATCCCTGGCCTCATGGGGCTTATGTTCGAGAGGAGAAGAGATACAATAAACAATTAAACAAATAGATACACGATGTCATAAAAATAAAGCGGAATAAGGGGATGGAGAATGATAGGGCGTGCTATTCTAGATAGGGTGGTCAAATCTGGCATCTCTAAGATGATAACATTGGACAGAGACCTTAATGAATGGAAAAAAGCAAGCTATTAATTATGATAACTTACATCAATATGTTAATATGTGAGCAAAGAGTATTACAGACAGAAAGAACAGTCAGTGCAAAGACCATGAGACAGGAATGTGGTTGGTATGTGTTCCCGGAAAAATCTAAAGCCAAGAGTTTGATTCTTTGTTCTTTCTGGATCTTTGTGTTCTTCCTTTCCTGGGTCAACAAGCTTCCATTTCTTCTCTATCATGTAAATAGGTTCATATAATACATGGTGTTCTGCAACTTGCATTTTCCCTTGATGATAAATCATGGACTTTCATGTCACTACATTTAAGATCTGCCTCATTGTTTATAAAGGCTGCATAGTATTTCATTGTATAAGTGCACTAGGGATTTATTTTGAAAAAAAATAAATTTATTTAATCAGTTTCCCATAGATTAACAGTTAGATTGTTTCCAGTTCTTAGCTATGGCCCCCAAAATACTGTAGTTAGTATATGTGGGTGTGTGCATACTTGTTCCTTTATGCACTAAAATTTATTGAGCAGCTACTATGTGTTAGGTACTGTTATATGCTGAAAATACAATGGCTAGCAAAACGGACATGGCTCTTGCTCTCATGGAATATATGGTCTACTAGGGGAGAAAAATCATGCAATAAAAATATAATTACAAACTGTCAAAAGTATGAGTAAGATATGGCAGACACTGTTGTTCAGCTTACCCAGCTCTCACTCCCAATCCCATTTTCTCCAGCCTCCTTCCAGCTAGAAGTTTGGCCAATGAGACATAAGTGGGTTGTGGTAGGCAGGCAATATAAGGGCCCCCACAAAGATGTCCATGTGCTAATCCTCAGAACCTGTGAATATGTTAGGTTACATGGCAAAAAGAAATTAAGGTTGCAAATAGAATTAAGATTGCCAATCAGCTGACCTCAAAATGGGGAGATTATCCTGGATTATTGAGGTGAGCTCAAAACAATCACAAGAGTTCTTAAATGTGGAAGATGAAGGGCAGAAGAGTCAGAGAAGGAGATGTGGTGACACAAACAAAAGTCAGAGTGGGCCAGGCGCGGTGGCTCATGCCTGTAATCCTAGCACTCTGGGAGGCCGAGGCGGGTGGATCGCTCAAGGTCAGGAGTTCGAGACCA